GACACATAAATATCTTTAAAAAAACCAAAAAAAGACTGTTTCTGGCGGAGCCACGCACGTCAGGTGTTAAACTCCAGGTGGGAGACTTGGCCCAAGAGATATCATTTGGGGCCTGGGATTAATTTTTTAAAGATTTTTTTTTTTTTTAATTTATTTGACAGAGATCACAAGTAGGCAGAGAGGCAGGCAGAGAGCGGGGTGGGGGGAAGGCGGCTCCCTGCTGAGCAGAGAGCGCGATGTGGGGCTCGATCCCAGGACCCTGAGATCATGACCAGAGCCGAGGGCAAAGGCTTTAACCCACTGGGCCACCCAGGTGCCCCTTGGATTTCTTTTTAACAATAATCCCAGCGGACAGGTGTCACCCTAGACTGCCCCAAGCGAGCCTAGGCTGTCCTCCGCACAAGCGGGAGAAATGCCTCTCAAACTCCCTGGGGTAAAGGACTACCTCTTCACAGTCTACCATGGTCAGACGCTCTCCTGACCCGCTCAGGCTGCGACTGCACAGACTGAGGGGAGGGGGGTGCAGACAACCAGTTGTGACCCCTCCATTCTGGCTGCTGGGAGTCGGAGAGCAGGCATCACAGGGATGGGCTGCTCTCTCCCAGGCCCTCAGGAAGCCTCTGCTTCCGTGTGCTCACATGGTCCAACCCATCAATGCGCTGGGAAGTGCGCATGTTTCCCTGAGCTCTGTGAGCTGCTCTAGTCCACCGTGAGGGCTGGGGAGGAGGGACGCTCCACTCTGCAGGCTGTGATCGGAAGCACAGGACTGGGGACTGGCGTCTGGGGAGGGGCTGGGGCTGAGTCCCTCACCTGTGGGGCTGCTGCTGTCCCTGGGTGGACCATGTCACGACTGGGCTGAATTCCAGGCGCCCCCTGGTATCTGAGGAGCCCGGAGCCCGCCATGCTGGAACCGGCTCTGGGAACCTTAAAAAAATCATGGCACGTGCTTTTGTAAAATACAATAATATAATTGTAAACTATAATAAAAATGAGTAACTAACAAATAAGGGGGGGAGAAGACATAAAACACATACCTACATTTTCTATAAAAATAAAAATAGGGGGCGCCTGGGTGGCTCAGTGGGTTAAAGCTCTGCCTTTGGCTCAGGTCATGATCTCAGGGTCCTGGGATGGAGCCCCGCATCGGGTTCCCGGCTCAGCGGGGAGTCTGCTTCTCCCTCTCCGTTGCCTTTCCCTGTTTCCTGCTTTGTCTCTCTCTAATAAAGAAATAAAATCTTAAAAAAAAATTAAATATACACACAGTTTATGACCCAGCCATTCCACTTCCGGGTGTTAGCTCGGCGGAAGTGAAAACACGTCCACTTTAGGGGGAAATAGCCAAACCCAGAAACAACCCAAGGGCCCATCAACATGAGAATGGGTGAGGTCTCTCAGCGCTGTGGCCTCTCGGGAACACCCAGGCACACCACCGGCAATAAGGGCACGCTGCCGCCGCCGGGGGAGCCCCCACAGACATCCCGCTGAAGCCGAAGAAGCCAGGCCCAAGACAGGACTTGCTGGGTGACTCTGTTTACCTCAAATACCAGGAAGGACAGAAGGCAGATCAGTGGTCACTCGGGGACTGGGAGGTGGGACAGAGGAACTGACCAGGAAGGGGCAGAAGGAGGATTTTGGGGTGACTGAAACGCCCTGCAACATAGTATGTTAAACAGTAATACATGTCCTGGGGAAGGAAAGAGCGCAAAGGAAGAAGCAAGAGGGGAGGGAGGGAAGGCTGCTCTTGTAAACAGGATGGTGACATGGTGGCATCTGAGTGCAGATCTGCAGGAAGCGAAGACTGCAGGTGCAAAGGCCCTGAGGCAGGAGCATGCCTGTGGTGTTCCAGTGCACACCTGGGAGCCCTGCAGCTGCAGCTCCCTGAGTGAGGGGGAGGGGGCGGGGAGGCCAGAAGGATGACGTCATTTCCTCTGAGGGAGGCGAGGAGCCCGCAGAGGGTTGTGAAGGGTGGCGTGAGACTCAGGCTTGGAGACAGCCAGTCTCAGAGCTGTGCAGCTGTGCGGAGACAAGGCTGCTGGAGCCAGAGCAGAAGCAGGGAGCCCAGTGAGGAGGCCACTGCTGGACATATGTCCCTGATGGAGGAAAACCAACAGGATTGGCTGATGACCTGAATGTAGACCATGAGGGCAAGAGAGGAGGTGGGGGGCCCACGGCAGCCACTCACCTGCTCTCCGCCCCTGTGGCCCTGGGGCCTGGCCGGTCCCCTCAGCTTGCTCACAGGGCGTCTGCAGGCCTCGCGGGGAGTCTGCTCCTCTCAGTCGCTGAGCAAATTCTCCCGATTGATCAGGCACCGTACAGTGTGTTTTCCCTGACCGCCAGCTGGAGGGCATTTCAGGGGGCTGCACTCGACATGGACACTGGTGAGTTCGCCAGGACCCCATCAGCTGGGGCAGCAGTGAGACTCCTTCAGGTGCCTTGGGGGGCGGCAGCACTGACAAAGAGACTTGAATCAGGAAAGAGAGACAAGGAAAGGCTTGTTCTTGGATAAATTCTTTACATCCTGGGGATCCCTGAAATAACATGGCGGGGCCTCTGCAGATCCAGGATTCTTATGGGCAGGTATGAGCTCAAAGGCTTCATAATTTGGATAAAATTCGTATGTGCAGGACGCCTGGCCGTCTCAGTTGGTGGAGCGAGCAACTCCTGATCTCAGGGTTGTGAGTTCGAGCCCCATGCTGAATGCAGGGGTTACTTAAAGATAAAATCTTAGGGCGCCTGGGTGGCTCAGTCAGTTAAGCATCTGCTTTCAACTCAGGTCATGATCCCAGAATTCCGGGATCGAGTCTCGCATCGGGTTCCCTGCTTAGTGGGGGGTCTGCTTCTCCCTCTGCCCTTCACCGTGATTGTTCTCTCTTTCGCTCTCTGTCAAATATAAATTTAAAAAATCTTAAAAAAAAAATTTAAAAATTAAAAAAATTAAAATCTTTAAAAGAAAACCTAAATGTGACGTGATTGACGAAATCTAACGTAACCGTTTTCATGATAACAAAAAGAGTTTTCTGTAAAAAAACCAAGAAGTTTTCTATGAATCTAAAACTACTGTGAAACAGAGGGTTTGAAGCAGGTGTAACAGCTAGGAATGCAATTAGTGACAAGTAAAAGAAGATGGATCGACAGCGGCTTATAAGCGCAGGGACGCATGGATGGAGGCAGCTGTCGAAGACCGGATAGTGGGCCCACCATGTCCTCACACCCACATCTCCTGAACCTTTGCTGTCATTTGGTGTAGCAGCTAGCTTGTCACCTCATGGTGATAAGATGGCTGCTGATGTTTAAGCATCACATCAACATCCAAGACTAGAAGAAGTAAGTGGATGGGAAAGGATGCTGGCTGAGTATGTCCCTTTTACCAGGAAAAAGCCATCTTCCCAAGAAACCACCCACCGGACATCTGCTTCCCTCTCCTGGACCAACACTCCAGTGACCTTGCAGGAGATTACGGAATTGAGCTTTTCGCTTTTCCAGTACCTTCAGAGGAGGAAGCAAGGGAGGGGCATGGGCTTACCTGGCATGGAGGCTGCCACCGCACAAGAGCTGGACTCAGTGCCTGTGTGCTCACTTGCTCTGGACGTGCAGGCAGAACCATGGAGTCCCGGGCGTGGGGGTGGACGTCTCATCAAGGGTTAAAGACCTGAGGCGAGAGCATGTGGAGGGACGGACTGAGTAGCCCGCAGCTAAGGCAGCTCCTGCTGGAATGACATTTGTCACTTTGGGGAGGTCAGGGGAGCTCTGGGAAGGGCTGTTCTGTGTGGGAGGCTGTGGCAGGTGGAGACAGCTGCCCCCTGGGCCCCAGGGATTTCTCCTGAGGAGACCACCAGCAGGCCCAGGGACTCTGTGGTCCCCAGAGGCAGGTGGGGTCCATGGAGCCAAAACAGCCAGTCCTCCCCACCCAGAATGGTCCAGATTTGGGGGGTGTTCCTAGCCCAGCTCCAACTTAGGAGCAAAAGGGCTTCTCTACTGGCACTGGGAGGACTCGGCTTCCATCTCCTGGATGCCCCAGCCCTGAGCAAAGAGGGGTCAATGCATACAGTGCTGCGGTGGGGACCCAGGTGCTGGTTCCCCACTTGGCGCCCAGCCTGCTCTCCCAGCCCGCCATCCAGCTCCTCCAGGAGGGTGCGCTGGGGGCTCCCTGGAGGCTGAGAGCCCAACTCAGAGAGAACCCACCCCCACTAGAGTGTCCTGGCAATACCCCTACCCGTTCCCTCCCTCAGGGGCTTCTGTGGGGGATCCTGTGTTACCGGGGACCAGGGAGAACATGAGAAACAGAAGACGGAGAGGGGAAGAATGAGGAGAAGCAGCAGGGGCAGAAGAAGGGGCGAGGGGTGCTGGGAGAGCTCGGAGGACAGAGGGAGGAGGAGGCACAGCAAGAGGGGGCAGGGGCTGAAGGCGGGAGAGGGGGCAGGGCGAGTGGCAGGTAAAGAGGGGACTGGGTCACAAAGGGAGGGCTGGGATTTGGATGTGGCGCTGACCTGAGTCACCATTCCCTCTCCAGACTGGTTCCCAGGTGAGCAGGAGGCCAGGGCCCTGTTTGTTTTTTGATAAAACCAACCCCAAGGCATCTACTGTGATCTGGTAACAACACAAGGGTCATCAAAACAACACGAACCAATGCTTGAGAAGCTGCTCCTTAGGAAGGGGGCCAAAACGCAAGCCAGCCAGAACCCCATGCTGCCTTCTCAGAAACTCACTTCATGGGCAATTTCTAGCCGGAGACACTTTGTAAGCAGTCTGCCAGCATGACCGCAACCTAGCTGCTTCCTTGACTTTTAGAATGAATCTCTTTGTGTGAGCCACCATCGGGTTCACACAACCACAGAGCCCTCAGTTGGCACATCCATGGGATGCAGGGAACCCCAGGTGGGTGAGGATGAGGTTCTTGGGGGGGGGGGGCTCTGGAGGGCAGGCCCAGGAGGCCAGGGCCCCTGCTGCAGAGGAGAGGGAGGGAGAGGGGCACTCCCGGGAGAAGGGGGTTAGCTGACAGACCCTCTGTGGCCCAGGACTTGCTCCCCCACCTGCCGTGGGCTCAGGCCAGGTGACTCTAGCCCACCGTGTCACCAGGCTTAGCGACCTCCCATCTCATTGTTTTGCTCCATCCTTGTAGGACTACTCACAGAATCAGCAGTGAGTCACTCCTGAGTCAGCTCCTGGGGGTGCAGAGGCCCTGGTTGCCTCAGCCCAAATCCGGGAGACCTGGCTCTCAGGGAAGGGAGGGGACACCCCACTCTCATATGGGCGGGTTTTTCCTCGCTAGCCCAGTTTTGGAAACCCAACAGGCAGGCTGGGGGCCTGGACTGGCCCTGCAGCCCGCTGGGCCTCCCGCCTCCTCTCTCTGTGGCCTTCCGGTGGGAGGGGGGCATAGGAAAGAAGTGCAAAGGCCGGGGGTCGGAATACTGAAACACAGGTGCACAGGACACCTGGTCCCTGGCGGGGCCACCACAGAGTCACACCCATCTGCCCCATTTTAATCCCAAGTGTACCCCTGCTTCCCAATGTCCCCACACCTGGAAAAACAGGAGCAGGGGAATAAATAATTTATTGAAATTAGAATAAATAAGATATGCGGGCAGGGCTACAAATAACTATAAAAATCGTTAACATATATACACATAGAAAGGTGCTCCCGCGGGCGGGGCGGGGCCTCGCTGCAGAGGCGGCGGTGCCGGCACGCGGGCGCCCCCCGGAGGCAGGTGGCTCACTTACAATGGTGGCCGCCCATCTCCCTGGATCCTAAGGCGCGCCGCCCGCGGAGGGCCCGCGGCCCGGGGAGGGCCCACTCCTCTGCGAATGCCCGCGGAGCTGCACCCCCTGCACGATCCGCATCACCCAGGAGCGGTGGGCGGCCAGGCTGATGTAGACGCCGGGCCGATCGCGCTCTGCGCAGCCCTCACCCCAGCTGATGATGCCCGCCAGCAGCCACGTGCCCTCCACCTGGCACATGAGGGGGCCTCCAGAGTCACCCTGTGGAGAGGAGGTGAGGTCAGGGACCCAGGTGGGTCAGGGCTGGGCAGAGCCCAGGACAGGCACCGCAGGTGGCAAGGGGTTCCCTTGTAGGGTGGGGGGTGCGGTGGGCTTCTCCGACCTGGAGGACAGGCCCTTGGGCTCACTGCTGGTGAGGGGTGCTTTGTGCCAGACCTCGGCGCTCACAGCCCGAGCCACACCGGCACCCCGGGTAGCAGGGAGGAGCCACAAGCAGGATCTAGTGTCCGAGCCACCCACTGTATGGAGCTGGAGCTGGTTCTGGGGGCCAGGACGGAGGAACCCCCTCAGAAGAAGGCAAGCTCCCAGAGAATGGGGTCCGGTACCCCAAGATGCTCAGGAGAGCTTTGGTGTACGGCCTGGCAGACGGGTGCCTGGGCCAAGCAGAGGCCCAGTTCTGTAGGCATCTCGGGAACTCGCGGGACCCAGCTCACATGGGGGGGCGGGCAGCAGGCAGTGCGGGAAGAAGGTTGGTTCTCACCAGACAGGCATCTCGCTGCCCCTCCAGGTAGCCCGCACACAGCATGTCCTCGGTGATGGCCCCCTGCCCTGCCCCCCTCCAGTACAAGCGGCCGCAGATTTCTGAGTCGATGATGGGAACCTCCAGTTTCTGCAGGGTCTGGGGTTGGGGCAGGGGCACTGGGGGAAGGGAACAGGGCATCAGGCTTGGGAAATCCTCTCCTTACTGTCCCCACGGCCCCTCAGTCCCCCTTGGAGGCCGTTCTCAAAGGCTAATGATCAACTCTGTCAGATTCTCCCAAACGCCTATGGAAAATTCCAATTCCCAGACTCCACCTCCGGATCTACTGAACACGAACAGGAGTGTGCATCCTGAGACCCTGAATTTTTGGAGACTGGAGATGCCCACAAATGGAGAGAACCACGGTTCCCAGCTTGTCCTGCCTCAGGCACCGCCTTGTCCAGCGTGGGGACGGGACAAGGGAAGTGGTCAACACACCATTGCCCTATGCTGGAAGCTATTAGGCCATGAGAGTTCCCCAAGCCCTGGGGAACTGGAGGCCTTGGGGACGGCCTGCAAACCCTCCGCAGCCCATAACTGGAGTTCCCAGAAAAGCCCCGCAGGATGACTATGGGGAGGCTGCCCGCAACCTCAGACTCGGGGACCCCCAGGAACCTGGTCATTTCTTGTACTTCTTTTGGAATCTGGTTGAGGTCCCATTTTTCCTACACGTTTTCCTCTTAGCCCCCCCTCCCCATTATCTACCTACCTACCTTCCTTCCCTCCCACCTTCTGCTTCTCTGTCTCTTACTTTATCTGCCTTAGGATGTTTTCCAGACTGGGTCTGACAACTCTGTTTTCTGGTTATGGAGACTATGTCCTTCTGGAAATTTTGCCTGCAATTATGGCATGCTGCCACCAGGAGGAGCCTGTTTCCCGCTTGGGCGTTGATCCGCAGTCAGCCTGGCCCCACACGTTTCTTCCAGCCCTTCCTCCATCACTTAATAGCCTCGCTGATCTGCCTGCTGTGGCCTCAGGACATCGCCACAGATCCCTTTTACCGAGAGAGGCCCTAAGCTGTCCGCCTAGCACTCCATGACTCCCCACCTCCGGACTGCAGCCCACTTTTTGTCTCTGTCATCAGAAGAGTCTTTTTCCTTCTGCTACGCCTCTGGCCTCTGCCCCCCACCGTCCCCGTGTTCCCGGCTACCCCCCGCCACCCGGGAGGGGAGAAGCCGCACCTCCGTCACGGATGCTCCCCCAGCCTGCGATCCAGCAGCGTGTGTTCGGAGAGAGGCGGACGGAGGAATCAGGCAGGCAGATGGGCAGGACTCGCTCAGAGAAGCGGATGGAGTGCTCCAGGTGCACCAGGGCGATGTCCGCACGGGAGCCCTCTCTCCAGGAGTACACGGGGTGGGACCGAACCCAGGCGATACCCACCTCCTGGGACCTCGGGCCAGGGTTCCCCAGCCGCCAGGCCCCCAGCAGCACAGAGAACTGGGATGGGTTGTTCAGATTGCTGGCAGGAGAGGAAAGGAGGAAGGGTCACTAAGGAACCTGGGGCGTAGGGTGCCAGGACGGGTCTGGGGGACGACATGCTCAGGAAGGCCCCTGAAGCAGGGTCTCTCTTCTGAGAGGCTCTGAGGCTGGACCGAGACCTGGAGGCTGGGGCTGAGTGGAGAGCCCTGGGTCTAGGGCAGAAAGCCTGGGCGTCAAGTACAGGACAGGCCATGCGTACCCCTTGAAGCAGTGGGCGGCGGTGACCACCCAGCGGCTGGTGAGCAGCGAGCCCGCACAGTGGTGGGTCCCGTTCTTCTGGATGCTCACGACCCAGGGCCACTCGGCATCGGTGCTGTCCTCACCACCCACGATCCGGTTCAGCCGCTGGGGCTTCCCACAGGTCGGGGGAGCTGGTGGAGAAGAGTCACGTTTTGTCACCCCCGGGGCCCAAACCTCCTGCCCTGCCTATGCCCCGTGCTGTTTCTCGTGTGTGTGTGGGGGGCCCTTCCCCGCCCTTCCTCTGCCCTCCCCTCAGGCTGGCCTTCCTCTGCGCTCCTCTCATCCGCTGAGGCTGCCCTGCTCTGGGCCCCCTCTCGGCTCAGCTTTCCAGGCCCCCTTTGTAGCCTGCCTTCCTCTCCTGCTCCCCAAAGACAGACAGACTCCCCCGCCCCCGCCACTCGGTGCAGGCCCCACTCACCAGGTATCCTGGCAGCATGGAGGGAAGCTGCAGGAGAGAGAAGGAAGAGTCAGGCGAGCGGAGAGGAGCCCCCAGTGCCCAGGGCAGCTCCCCAGACCTCTAGGGTGGGGCATTTCCTGGAGCCTGGGTAGGGCTGACAGAAACCTCAGGCGCCCTCTCTCAGTTGCAGCCTTATCCTCCCACCGGACTCCTGGCCCGCCTGCGCCCGCACTCCATCCCACCTGCCTGGCAGAGGACGGCCGGCTCCTGGGCACCTCTCACGGAGGCTAAGAGTCGGGGAGCACACGCCCACCCCTCTTAGGTTTCCCCCAGACCTGAGGGTGGGGCCCGAGACCCTCTCTATCCCCAGCCCGAGGCCTGCAACAGAAATGCGTGGATTGGAGAGCGGGAAGGAGGACGAGGACGAGAGGGACAATGGATAGCTCGGGGAGGGCTGAGGTGTGGTGAGGTCCAGGCAGGGGCGCAGCCTGCCTTGGTGTGTCCTGCGGTCCTGCTGGCAGCCACAGGACACAGCAGAGGAGCAAGCCGCAGAGAAGGCAGGAGGAGGGGAAAGGAACAGAGACCAGGTGCAGGTAGGGCCAGGAGGGACGGCAGGTGGGCAGGTGCTGAGTAGGGAGCAGGAAGGGGGTGGCTGTGGGGGGTGCAGAGGAGGGAGGGGGGCAGGGCCTCAGAACTCACCTGAAGAAGCCAGAAGCAACAGTGGGGTTAAGATCCTGAGACCGCCCCCACCCAGGGCTGGGGGAGCTCTGGAAACTAGCATGGCCAGCAGGGGCACGGGCACGGCTGGGAGAGCAGTCCTGCCTGTGACGGGGTGTGTGGAGTTCCCTACAGGTCACCCGAGGTTTTATCCTGGGAGGTGGAATGCCGTTGGACCAGTCCCCCAACTGAGTGAGTGGCTCAGTCCCTGCCACCCCAGGCTATAGGTCACAGGAGGGGTGGGACTGCTGGGAGGAAATGAGCCGCTAAGGGGACTGGGGGCTCTAGCTGAGACCCCTCCCTCTGCCCTGGAGCAGTGGACTCAGGGATCCGGTTTGGGAGCTCAGGACCCTGGCTCCAGCTGTGGGCCCCGGATCTACCATCTGGAGGAGCAGAGCCTGGACCCAGAGGTCTAGGCCAGCGGAGCTGACATTGCGAAAGTCCCCCAGTTTGGGTGCTGAAGGGAAGGCCTGGGGCCTGGGCCTGCAGCAGCTGAAGGCTAGGATAAGGGGTCTTGGTGGGGTCCTAGGGCCTTGGGGAGAAGGGGGCTGCCCAGAGAGGCTCAGTAACGGCTCCTTCCTCCAGGGGCCACCGTGACTCAGCCAGGAGACCTCATCAAGCCCCGGGCTCTGGGATCCCGTTAACCACTTCCTGGAAAGCTGTGAATCAGGCCCCCAGTGACTGCTTGTCATGTGGGTCCTGCCACTTGGTGGCAAACGACTCACCCCTCACCTGCACTGCAGGGAAGACCAGGCAGGGCCGGCCAGGTGCCCAGGTGGCTGACTGACGCGGCTGCCTGGGCAGGGCTGGGTGCCATCCCCCACACTCGGGTCAGAGAGCAGCGGGGCTCCGCTGGCGCAGGGGGTGCCCCAGATGAGACCCGGTGACCCGGGGTCCCCACCAGTTCCTCCGACTCAGTGCCCCGATCCCATGATGCCCCCACCCCAAGCAGGAGGGGCAGGCCGATTCCTCTTCTGAGACCCACCGTATCTCTGTCCTTTTGTTCATTTGATCAATAAGCCCCGTGTTGGGAAGGAGCGTAACGTAGTGGGAGCTTACGGTGGGCCCTGCCCCGCTGCATCTCAGCGGAGGAAACAGGGCCTGGTGGGGGGGGTGGGGAGAGCCTAGATTTGAACCTCAATCTGGAAGCAGGTGACTGGATGGGACTCAGCAGATCCTGAGGGATCTCGGTCCAGGGGCTGGATGGTTTTTACTCAAGGGCCTAGGTGCAGGGGTGCTGGGAGTCTCAGGGCCCCAAGGAGGTGCCCGACTCTGGAGGCGGCCAGCGAAGGCTGCCCAGAAAAGAAGGGCCTCGAAACAGAGGCCCGGAGGGCAAGTGGGAGTGGGCCGTGCAGAGACTCAGGCAGGAGGGTCCTCGCAGGAGAGAGGGAGTCTGGGCTGGGAGGAGCGGGGGGCCCTCCAGGCCGCCCCTCAGTGCACCCCGCTGGGCACACCACCTCAGCCTCTCTGGCGCTCCCCAGCTTGGCCAAAATGCTCTGCTCCCACAGCCTGTGTGGGGGGCCGACTCCAGCACTGCCTCCCCACCGAGGGTCTGCCGGTGGCAGGTGTCGGCACCTGGCCGCCTCCCCTGGAGACTGGGAGTGTCAGTACCAAAGGACCATCGGTGTGTGTTACTGGCCCCCCTCCCCCACTCCCGCTTCGGTGGGAAAGGCAAGAGAAAACTGGGGGTTAAACCGCAGCCAGAATCATACCTCCACATCAGGGCGAGCCCTCCCTCCGCTGCACCCCACCCACCCCGAACAGCCCCCACCTGATGCGCTCTTCCCAGGACTGGGAGGAGGGGGCTGCCCGAGAGCACCCTCGCCCAGCCGCCAAGGTGAGGGGCTGGTTCTGCAGGTGCTCTCCCTCTACACCTGCCTCCAATCCTGGGTCACCCCTGTACTCCATGGCTAGCCTCAGGCTCCTGCAACCCACCCCCTTTCTGCACTAAGGCGGCCGGCCTCCAGGCTCATTTGATAAGCATTTATTGGGCAACTGCCGTAGGCCAAGCCCTGTGCTGGGCACTGGGACACAGGGGTGGGTAAGACACAGGTCCTGTCTTCAGGCAGCCTGCATCTTCCCCGCGCTGGGAGGTGGACCACACGACAATGGTGAGTCAGGGACGAGGGCAGAGGGGATTCTGGAGGCTTCTACTGGGCTGAACCACTCCAGACTGCTGCCTCCCCAGCGTCCTCTGTATAACAACCTTTCCTGACACCTGGATGACTGCCCAGGTGACCCAAGGGGCAGGCATGTGTCCTGAGAGGTCACTGTCCCCAAGACAGGGTAGCCAGGCCGAGGGCCTCAAGCGGAGGGACCCGGCAGGTGCCATAGAAGTCCTGGAAAGCCAGCGAACTCTGGCATGGGTCCTAAGCAAGGCCCCAGTTCCCAGGCAGGGACCCTGGCGTGATTCAACGGTCAACCAAAGACCTGCGGTGTGCCTACTGTGTGCTGGAGGGACGCCAGGCATGCTGGCTGGGCCCCTCATCACCTAGGCACCACCCTGCCACCTACCTGTAGCCGTCTATCTGGGGTGCCCTCTCAGGGCCAAGGATGAGCCCAGAGGTATGCAGGACGCAGGGGGCTGCGGTGCTAGGCCCACCACGCTCCAGGCAGAGGAGCACCCACTAACACCACCCCCGGCAGGGCAGACACCCTCACGGGGCTGCGCACTCACCCCCAACCCACAACCACCAGGGACCGCTGGGCGCCACTGCACCAGCCCAGGACACAGCAGGGAGTGAACTGAAACCAACCCCAGAGGAAAGACAAAAACGATAGGAACAAATCATTTAGTCTGATGGACGATGAAGTCCTGGGGAAGCCCAGCCTGGAAGGGGATGCGGCCAGGGAGAGGGTGGCCCTTGTGTCGGGACACAGGACAGTGCTCCCTCTCCGTGGAGTCTCATGGGTGCAGTCAGAGGTCATCCCAGCCCCCTCAACCACACTAGCAAAGGCTCCACTGGCTGGGACTGGTGGATTTGAGCTGTGGAAGAGGAGAGGCACGGGGTTGGGGGTGGTGTAGGTGACACTGACCTGGGCTCCAGGGAACCAGACAGGGACAGAAGTGGGGAGGCTGTTCCACGGGGAGGGCACAGGGACAGGGTGCTTGGGGGTGCGGGGAGCGGCTCTCAGCAGAGGGTGAGAGGACCCATGTGGCCCATGTGCCTGAGCGCCCGCCCCACGTCCGCAGCAGCAGGACCCACAGAGCCCCGAGCGGAAGCAACCCCATATGCATCCATGGACGAATGGACAAACAGTGTGGCCTGTCCACCCACCCAACGGAATATCATCGATAGTATCCAGCCATAACAAGGAAAGAAGCGCCGGACACCTGCCACGGGGGTGGGGGCCGTGGGGCGGAGGACACTGGGTTCAGTGACAAGAGCTGGACGCAAAAGGACAAGTACGGCAGGATTCCACTTCCAGGAGGTCCCGGAGGTTGCAGAGCCACAGTCCCAGGACGTGGAAGGGGTGTGCCGGGGGCCAGGGAGGGGCCCGCAGTTAGGGTTTGGCGGGGGCAGTCCTTCGGGAAGCGGGGAAAGGTCCGGGGACATTGGGACATGTGCGCATGTTTAATGCCACTGAGCCGCGCACTGAGCAGTGGGGAAAACACTCAATCCTGTCGCTCTTACTACAACTAAAAGAACAGGGAAGAAAGTCTGAATGTGTCGTCTCCCCCCCCCCCCCCGCCCCGTGAACACTGGGCCGCAGCGGAGGAGTGGGAGTGGCCCTGGCCAGCACCCGGTTGCCCAGGCGATCACACAGGCCCCTGGCACGAGCCGGCAGAGCACTCACAGGAGCAGGGAAACGGGAGCTCCTCAGTTTAAGCATCTGTGAGGAGGACCGGCCCCACCTTGCCTGTCCAGGTGCAGGAGGCAGGGCACTCAGGTGTAGGGCCTGGCAGCCCGCAGGGCTCAGCACCAGTGAGCAACACCGGCCACATGTCTGCAGGCAAGGGTTTCTGGGGCACTAGTGGCTTTCAGGAACCATTTGTCCCTGGCTGGCAGGCCCCAGGGACACCCGAGGACATGGCTCACTGGCTGGTGTTCCGTCATTAGGGATGTCCTTCCTCTGGTCTAACCACACTCTTGAGCTCTCCTAGGAACCCACAGGTCCCCAACCCTGTCCCAGGTCCCATTCAGAGCCCCACCTCCACCCCAGCCCCCATAGCCAGAGCCTCCCATTTTCCTCTTCCCTGCCCAGGCCCCTCATGGTCTTCCCGGTTCTGCCCATCCCCGTCCTGGCCTTGGAGCTCTGCCGCTCCCTTCCACCCCTGGCATCTTGGGATACTCGGTGGCTCGACCGGGGCCTCAAGCGGCAAGCACAGGGAATCCTCTCCCCATCTTCCAGCTCTCCGGCCTGGCCTGTGTGGTCTGAGCACATCCCCAGACCACCACCTACCCAAAACTCGGGAAAAAAGCTTTCTCCACCTTATAATAGCATTGCCTTGCCACATCTCCGTAAAAGTAGAGGCTGAGCAGCCCCTGTTGCCCCGCCTTCCTTTCTCTGGTCTTAGGGGTCCCCCTGCCCCACTCCCTTCCTCACTCCCACACTTCCTAAACGCAGAGCCCAGCTGCCTGACTCTGAATGCTGGACTGCTACGGTCCACTTGTTAATTACAGGACTCTGGTATCTCTGTGCTGGCAATGTCTTCCTGGAATAGAAAGCATTATCAGTTCTTGTGGTCCACTAGGACCTTCAGGCATCTTCCAAGCTGCACTTAGAGCTGCTCCACTATCCCTTACTGATTTACTATCTTCTGCTATGGCACCTCTCTAAGTCAGCTTGCTCTAGAGTTTTCCTTCCATGCCTTAGAGCACTCTCCTAAGTTTTGTTCACAACCATCTCCTCCTTCAGAAAAGCTGGCTGTACACTGGGTTTCTTAGGGCTAACCACGCTTTCTCAGTGACTCTCACTGTTCTCATGGAAAAATAACTCATCAGTTTGGCTGCGAATCTGTGAGGAGGAAAGCGGTCAGTCCTACAGAAATGGCACTGGGCTTGTCCACTCTGGGGGCCAGAACCCCTTACACCTCCACCTCTCACCTACGCACCACCTCTCTGGTTGGTGGAGCATCCTTTCTTTTGCCCACACCACCATCACAAGAACTGTCTCCTTGTGTCTGGGCAGGCTGACGGATCACAGGTAAACGCAGCCCCCTTTGCTCTGTTCACCTTTCAAACTGCACGTTTACTAGAGGGATGTGTTCCCACGGGCTCTGACTGGCTAGCAAGAGCTGGTCGTTAAGCTTGCAGGAAGTCTTCAAGGGGCTGACATCACGTTCGTACTCTGAAATCAGGTGAGCACAGCGGGACAACTTACACCACCAAAATCAGCAAAGGCCACAAAACAGGCCTCTCCCCCGAGGTGGCGCACCGCGAAGTTCTGACCAGCTTGTCCCCAAGTGTCTTCCACGTGACCAGCCTGGGCTAGAGCCAGACTCCCAGGACTGGGGCATGTCTCCTTCCACCTGGACGGACTGGAGCCCGCTCTCACGACAACACTGACATGGGTCCAAAGGGCTGTGCTTCTCCGCGACCAGGAAGCAGAGGGGAGCTCTAGGTTGGGAAGGCCCAGGGCCGGGCCCAGAGGAGCCTGCTGGGAAGAAGGGCAGACGGCAACAGGCAAGCTGGCGGTGTACCCGTCACCAGGCTGGGCAGCTCCCAGCACTCTTGGTGACATATAAGTGACTCACAGACGAAGGAGGGGGGCAGGACCTCAGAGTCTTGAGGTCAGAAGTCATGGCCAAGGGCTCTTGGAAAGGAAGTGAATGCTGCACGGGTCAGCCACGTCTGGGGGCAGGTGCAGAACGAGGGGCCCTTGTCCAGTTCCCGAGGGAGCTGGTGCCAGAGCCAGGAGCGGCAGCACCCCAGCCTTCCTTCAGAGCTTCCCACAGACACGTGACCTAGCCCCCCGGGGTGACCTGCACAGCCAAGTCATGCCTGCAGAAAGGAAGCATGGAAAACCAGCTCCAGCCACCCCCACAGGGTGGAGAGCCACCTCCA